ATGTGCTAAAATCTAGTGACCTCAATTAGCATAAAGAAGATCAACATTCCAACGGTTACAAACTTTTCTTTCCACGTTGCAGATTCGTTAGGCATTTATCGCAGTGCCCTCCTCCTTCTAGAATTCAGAGGCTTTTAAGCCCACAAGGGCTCTGTATTATACCATCTGTAATGTATGGATGCACCATTTTGTTTCGGACGAGTCAAACAGATCGAAATACATCGACCCGGGTGCTTATATATCAGCGAATAGTTTTGTTAATGTGGGCTTGCTAACAATGGCTAGTTTTCGATGCCGCTATGTGGGCATAACATATATGTGCCAATTTCCCGAATTCTTCGGCGCTGATCATTGATACGTAGTCATTTCATGTTAAAAGTCTCTAGCCATGCCCCTTGATCTAATGGTTTGCGTTATGCATGGCAAAACTGTGAGCGAAACGATCGATCTTCTATCGCTCTGAAGCGTCATTGATCACATGTGGCACTTCTCTGGCTCTAATGACGTTAAGCATGATTGTCAAGTGCTCATAGCTTTAACATTTGCAGCAGTGCTTTGTTCTGTGTCATGAATACTCATGCTAAGCATACAGAGCGGGGAAGATACAGAGTCAGTAACCTCAGCGTGAACACATGGCAGCTGGCCGACTAACCACACGCACCGTTGCCGCACGAACAACCTCAACGCGCACAGATATACCTCACGACGAATGCCTCATCGGCGTTGTCATTCGACTACATCTTCTAACATAATGCGACATGGAGTGCGAATACGCATATATGAAATTCATACTAAGGCAAGAAATCAGTCATGATGACGCGCAGTAACAAAGTCGAGCAATTCGAGCAGTTTTGAAAGAAGTAATTGGGACACAAAGCGAAGTATAACATGGTTCAGAACGCTGCTACCCTCTTTGAGGATTTTGATGAGAAAATGCAACAGTAACGCGAGGCGATACAGACCTTTATAAAAGAGCGTTTATCCTTGAAGCGATTTTGACTCTTCTGAAAGTCGGAGGTTGATTTCTAAAAATTCCAGCGCGAGTGGTGTAAGAGTACGCGACTAACGTACTAAAGGATGGTACGGTGTACCCGAAAATTTGACCGCCCCTTTTTAGAGGCGGACATAAGTTATGCGTTATCTGACATATTCCTGAGCAGGAACATGCTCTGATGTCTATGTGGTAAGAAACGAATGTTTGAAAGTTTGGCCACAAAAAGAGCGGAGATACTTAAAGAATATTCCCTTTCGTGGTGGTCTTACCAGTGAGTACTCATTTGATGCCAGTTACACCAATCATCTTCACGCTTTCGACGACCACCTCGAAAGAGTCTACGACTCTTAACACGTGCGAATGTTATCCGCATTACGCAACATTCCCTTAGCCGACTAGCCGCTCTTAATCCCCAGTAAGTTCCGTTACATTCGCAGCTACTGTGCTCATCAGTAGTTTTTGTCTCCAACCTTGCGTCAGGAGAATCCGCCGATATGGACAGTCCGACGCAAGCAGCGACATTTATCCCTACTTCGTCGACCGTGGTAAGTAACACGATTCAACCTCACCTTCGAGAAGAGGGTGAGTTGGAGATTTGGCCGGCTGAATCGATCATTGTTTACTTTTATTTTACGAGGCGTAGTAAGCTTGAAATTTAAATCTTGAATGACACGAACGGTCACTCGTTTCTGATTTGTAACGGATTGTTTTTAGGTAGTGCAAAACTGCGACGAACTTTTCGATTACCCTGAACTGTCGGCTGCTCCGGATATCGGATGGCCGGATATTTTCAATTCTGGCGTATTTGTGTTTTGTCCCTCAGAGGAAACGTTTCATGCTTTGCTGCAATGTGCTCTTGTGAGCGGTAGCTTCGACGGTATGTTCTCAATTCTTCGTTTCGTTGTTGGTAATGAATGCTGAGCGGTGACGCTTGAAATATGCATCTATCGTTGTTCCTCTTTGCTTTGCTGATTTTATACTTCATATTGTATTTTTCAGCCTGATGTGAGTTGCACCCAGGCGGGTCTCCCTGATCCTTTCCTTCGGATTTCTAATGAATTACTCAATTATCCTTTTTAAGTTTCTCTTCCAAAATAACATGACAGGGGATCAAGACTAATGGTTTAAATTAACTCCTTGTTGAATTTGTATATGTATTTTTGCTTTATTTAAATATTTTCTTAAGAGCTCATAGAGTGTGGCGTTGTTAAATATAAAGGAGAGTGTGCAACGGTCGTGAATGTGAACGTTGTAAACCGCCATTAGAATAGATCATATTTCGTGTAGCGTTCACTGGTACAGGATTCTTGTGACTTTCGATGAGGTAGAAGGGTCTGGGGTCTGTCAGTACCTATATCTGCTAGAAACCAGCTCCATACAGGCTTTACTGCTGTTAATACTACTGCGGATGCCTATAAGTAATCGAATCTGTTTGGAGGGTTTCATGTGTTCTATTCATTTTATTGACTTTAGCAGGTCATGGGTAATATCACATAACACCCTGCTTTTGAATCAGTGTGAGTAAAGTTCTCATCGATGTCATCCATCAGAAATTCATGTCGAATCATTGTCAGTGAGTGAAAAATGAACTAAAATCGGATCTGAGCAAAATCGACAGTGAATCCTGTTTTTCAGCATAGCTGAAATAAGATAAATAAAACCAAAGCGAAAAAAATTTCCGTAATCGCCCTGTTATACGACACTCGAATGAAATAACCGAAAGGACCAGATTGTCTTAAGTGTGTAGGTCTTTGCGATATTCGCACATTCATAGGCTCCAACCGAAAATTAAACCGCTAAGCATTGTATTCAAAAGATGTCGCTTAGCGAATGACCTGAAATAGCCGTAAAACCTTTTTGGCCTCAGTCATGAAAATGTGCACATGGGACCGCCCTCGTCTTTTGAGCATGGCAACATCCTTTTGGCAACTGTCAGTCGCCTCGCTACCGTACTGTCTTTAGGCTTTCTCAGAATTTGTTCAATCAGATTGATCGCTGGTTAAATTGTCACATCCTGTAGAAGTGCCCTCACACTGACCTCGATTTATCAGTCAGGTTTCTTGCGCGTTTCACAGCTAATTTACATTTCTAAGGGGTGTTAATAAAATGAATCGAAAGACAGTAATAAGCCGGCAGTTAGGATAGCAGACGTTGATTAAACGA